ATGCCGAGTTAGATCCATTAAATATGACACCTTTAATGCCTGAGAAAACGGAAAGACTATTTTGCATCATCGACCATTACATTCGAAACTTTGTAAACAATATAAATTAATTTTGTTCTTGACGTTTCGTAGTTATATCTCATTAGAGAAATTTTATTCTAGAATAATTGTTGTTCTTTATATATTATTGATGCCAAAGGAACTCTAGTAATGATTGTTATATAAAAAGTAGTTTTTTTTTTTACAAAGAGAAAAAAATATTTTTATATGTTAATAAATTTTACACGGTTAATATATTTTTGATAACTACCTAAAATATATTGTAAATATTCAAATGTAAAAATTCTTTTTCCACCAAATTTGACGGTAATCACACCCTGCCCACTTAACAAAAGTATTAACAAAAATATTATATATATATATATATATAATACAAATTTAAAAATTCAATTACTTTATAAAGCAATATAATCCTCAAAGTAAGAAAATTTTGCATTTACTTCTTTAAATATATACTGAAGATATAAAATCGCACCGATTCTTCATAAAAATCACCTTATTCATTTTGTGCTATTAATGAAAAATTGCTTAACAGTTATATTAAAATGTAGATTTTTCAAAATAATAAAAGAATAAAATTTTCAGATCTTTATACTTGTTGAGATTATCATTTTATGAAAATTAGTATTTTAAATTATCTTTATTTGATTTTATACAATATATTTTATAAAATAATGGTTAACATGTAAGGCATATCGACCTTATCAATGTTGTTTATTGACTTCAAGGATTCACATATGAAAAAAATTGTTTTTCTTGTTTAGTCCAAATGTCTAATATTTAAAAGGTTTTATTTACATTTAAATGTTTATATATATATATATATATAAAGTTATATTTTTTAAAAAGCAATGAACTATGATTTGCTTTTTCATTTTCATTTTCTAACTATAAGATAAATATGTGTAAAATTAATAAAATCAATGACCATAAATATCTTACTGAAAATGAGTTTTCATAAGAGACGAGATAATTATGTGAAGTTTCAGTTATTTACTAGTTGTAGTAAATAGTAGTAGTAGAGCTACTGTAGATGAAAACATAAAGTTTTTTACTCTATTACGAATTTTGTAGAAAAAGATATTTTTCACTTTTGAATTGCGCTCAAGATACCTTTTTTGCGCAGCTCGAAAACTCGCGAAAGCAGCGAGGAAAATGCGAATCTGCCTAAACTATGTACCTGCTATAAATAAATTGTTAGCTTAAAATTTTACACCAAATATTATTATAAATTTTGAATAATTATTTTTTGATCGTTGTTATATAAAATATTAGTCTATACATATATTATCAATTGATATTACTATGAGTTATAAATATTTTTTCCATCGTTGGTTATTAGAAAGATAAATAGTGAGTAAAAGCTTTGTTAAATAAATATACACACATATATATATATATATATATATATATATGTATGTATATTGTTAAACAAATATATTTATATAATGATTGTTTTATTCCATTGGATACATTATTTGAAGATTATCAGAATACCGAGTGATATTTATAATGTTTATATCTATTGCAATATGGTAATGAAAAATGGTTAATTATTTGTGTTGTTGAATAATGCACAATAATATATTCATATTGTTAATCTTAATTATCAAATACATTATCCAAAGCAGATATATTCTATTAAAATAATGCGTATACTTTTTAAAAATATGTATTTAAAAAAATTAGATTTTATAATTAAATCATATGGGCACATAAATTTAAGATAACTAAGTATTTAAAAATATTTATTATAACGTTAATTATAATTATTTTTTATTTTTGAATGATTTTGAAATCTATTGTGAAATTCAATATGCAAGAATAAGATACATTTCTTATTTATCATTTGTTACGTAATGTATGCAAAATAGTTCATTATTTTATGTTTAGAAGAATAAAATAATAAATTTTTGGCATTTCATAGAATGTTTTATTTTCAGCTTGAATTGAAAATTAAATATTATTTCCTAATGAGCAATAATTTGAGATGTGCATTAATATATTATGGAAATAATTTATAACAAGATCTTTATAAATTGATAAATACAATGTGCGTTCTATGAAAAGTTAATGAAAATTTCATTTTATTAACATAAGAAATCAAAAAATTGTATAAATTGAAAATTTTGTACCTGTGCTATGCTAATGTGAGTACCTGAAATTTGTAAACTTTGAAATAAATTTAATGTCGTTTATAAATCTAACTATATTGTTTTATTTCATATTAAATAATGTCAAATAACATGAAATTATTTGTCAAATTTCTTGTTAGTAGAAATTTTCTGTATAACATGCCCTGCCATATATGGGTGTGTGTGTGTGTGTGTGTGTGTGTGTGTGTGTGTATGCGTGTGTATGCGTACACACATGATGAAAATTTTGTACATTGTATTATAAATTTTTTATTACAGTAATTATGATGACAAATAAGTTATTTAAAAATTATCTCTCCGCTGTATTAAGAGAAAGGAATAGTGAATTGCGATTATTTGTTTGAGATTGTCGGCAATGCCAAGACAATCCGACATTTTAAACTCGTTACTACTAATCTCGTATCTTCAAATTGACTGCAAAGTCAAAGTAATCGCTTGTGCGAGGGAGAAAGGGGGAAATAGAAGAGAAAGTCTCGTGGCTCTTCAACGACCTACGTATGCATTATCAAACGCACGTGTTTGCATTCGCGCACACTTACCTCACGGCTCACTAGTTTTTGAATCTTTAAGGATGTGTGCCGAGCGCATAGGTACGCTGCAGCTCAATTAAAGAATTACGCGACGCGCATGCCTGCGTGTTTCCGTAATTGCCTCAGTCATACGAGCGTCATAAGGTGCTCAGGCAGGTCAACGTTAAACAGGAATCGCAATTGCCTCGAGATCTCGTTGACGCTTCCTGAATGAATCGATCAGCCTTCGGCCCCTACGACCTAGTAATTCCAACCTTTTTTTCTCCGTTTTTCTATGACTGGATATTGAATTCGACCGAGTAGCCTCGCATTTCATGATGTAGCACATTGCAATGGGCATCAAAACTTTTGAAACGTGGGTCTTTAACGTGACGGCACTTGACTTTGATTTACGAAATGCCCGCGGCTGCTTGCAAGGTGATTACAAAAATATCTGGTTACGCTTTATATAATACTTTTATAAAATCAATAGCTTTATAAAATCAAGATGAAATTTCCCTTTCTTTTTTACCGAGTACCAACGTCACTACTCTTGCTTTAAATAACAAATTTTTTTCGAGGGATTCAGATGTTTTACAAATATAGAGTAATCTGACGCCACGTAGAGAAAGTCACTTCAAATTATGTTGAATTGTGAAACAGATAGATATACTTTGATAATAAGAGTTTGTCACAAATCATTGCTTTGTTGACATTAGAATTACGTATTCAGTCAATAACGTGCCTCCATACTATAATTACATTTGAATTTCAAAAAAAAAAGGTTCCATTTCAACATTCAAAATCACTAATCAATGAAACGCGCAATAGCGAATGATTTGTTCTCCTTTTGAATTTAATAAACGGCATAATTTTCCGACTTACTAAAGTTTAGAGAAAAAAATATGAATAGCCTATAATCTAATTTAAAACCTTTTCAATTATAGTTGGATAATTAAATTAGAGGTATAATTTTTGTTGTTGTTGTTGTTGTTGTTGTTGTTGTTGTTGTTGTTGTTAATAAAGTTAAAAAGATTTAATTCATTTGTTCATTCATTTTGTAACAAAAATGCAATAACATATTTATCAATAACCGTATGAAAATAAGACAAACCTGAATTTCCTACTTACTCTATATTCGTGATATTATAATTAAATGTAATGTTATTTAAAATTTTTTGATAAAATGTATATTTTATGAAATGACTATATGTGAGTATAATATACTTTGTATTCATTTTTTTCACATGACAAATTTATAAACCTTTTATAGGTATTATATAGTCTATTCTATTTTATTTATTACAATCAGTATTACAAAACATTTTTAGATTTTAACTTTTGTATATGCCATTTTATAATAAATTATCACTCTTAGTATAATATCACGTAATTTTAGATGACGTAAT